CAGAGGCTTGGTGGTTCAGAAAAAAATAGTGAGGGGGACGCCATGGCCCTCCCAACACCCTCTCAACATGCACATCAGATATGGGGACATAAGTCATTTATAAGAAAGATGGTATAAGAAAGATGGTATCTTACCTGTGAGACCAAGAAACGGGCTCGGAAAGCAGGTGGGGAGCAAACAAGAGAGAGACACAGTTTATGCCATGACGGACCACCTGAACCACCAGCAGCGACACCGCGAGGACCATGTAAGTGAAACAGAGACCCTGCAGCTACCACAGGCCCCGGGTAGCCAGGTCCCCATTAACTTCAACTAAATAAGGCAGAGACGCATTGAACAACCTACAAGAGGCACTGGGTCAGCTCCTACGGTTCCTTCACACTGAGCGTCAGAGCTCCCAGCTCGCAGTGGCAGATGCCCTGGGCTGGGCAGGATCAACCACCACGTCCTCAGGATCTGTGTGCATCACTCATTACCCGGCCATCTCTTTTCCACACACAGATCACTAGATTCCAGACCAGGAAGATGGTCGTCCATACCAACTGTCTGAATTAACACGGCTGAGGGAAAGCAAGGGGACAGAGGGGTTTGCCCAGCACCACCGGGGGACTAAGGGTGGAGTGGGGATCATAGTTCAGACATGCTGACTCCCTGACCCAGGTGCTCACTGTCCTGTAGGCGGTCAGGTCCTGAGCACGAACACAGACAGGACAGCTTGGCTCACCCAGAGGCTCACCCACCCCCACCCCCACGGCTACTCCCTGAGTGGGCAAGCACCCACGGCACAAACGTGTCCCCTTTAAGATCTAAAATGTGGTATCCACTGAGCCAACACCTGTCACAGGTGCCTAGGATGGGGCACGTCCAGCTTACCTTCAAGGGGCCCCATCCCCTCACACCCCTCCACACGCCCCTCGCGGGCCAGGCTGTTATGTCTCCCAACAGGTTGCTCACAATGAGCAAAGCATGGAGCAAGCCAGGCGTTTGCCAAAAACCGACAGTACCAACCACTTAAATCGCCCTTGGTCCCCATTCCCAGGAGATGGCACTGGGATGCAGGCATAAAGGGACTTCATGTGGGCAACCGGCCTTCCGACAGCTCAGGAGAAAACAGGCTGCGCACAGGCGAGAGGGAGGGAGCTGGCGTGAAAACGGGGAAGGGGGCAGGAGGGAAATCTGCACACAGGGCCGACCCATGTTCTTCGTAGTAACTTTATTTTTGTAACTTTTTATAAGTTTAGAATTATTTCCAAAGAACATGGGGAAAATATACCCCAAAACAAACAAACAAAAACCCATCACCAGAAACTAAAACAAACAGCAGAAGCACCGGTGGCACAGGTCAGGCAGAGGTCAGACGGGTGGAGGAGGAGAGCGGGGAGGTTTTTCAGAGGACAGAGGTTCTCAGAGCTGGGTGACAGTGACAACACACACGTGGCGGGAAAGAGCAGAGTGGCCCACAGACAGCCCCCGCCAAGGTTCTGTCTCCCTCGCCCTGGGGACCCTCCTTCAAGGAGGCCACAAGAAGCGACATGTCGGAGCGTCTCTAGAAAAGTCAGTCTTTCCTGCAACAGACTCTGAAGGTGGCCCTGCGGGTGGGCAGGTGGAATCCGGGGGCCTGCTTGTGATGTCACCTGTGCTCAGAATGCTTATCGTCAGGACAACCCAGGGCCTCCTGGGAGCAGGCGTGTGACCCGCGTGCCCAAATCTGTCCAAACATGGAGAGCTTCTCGCTCCTCAGCATTTCGGGACCACGAGTCTCGTCTTCGGCCCTGAGCACGTTTCCTGACCTCATGTCTTCACGAGGCCCCAGCTTGCCAGGTAAGCTCTGCCCAAGGGCCACAGAAATGGGGGGGAGGGGGTCTGAAGCTTTTTTCCCCTCTTTATTTTAAAAATTTATCTTTACTAGTGGAAGTATTACAGATGCCCCCCCACCCCCCAGCTTGAAACTTTTAATGGAGGACTTGTTAGATCATGTTACAGGCCCTGCACACACTCTCCCCAACACCTGGGACACTACTGAGTGCAGACTGAGCAGGGCCACTGCCCTGGAACTGGAGACAGGTCAGCTTCTTATCCAAGTGTCAGCAGCCATCCAGGGTGTGACAGGCAGCTAGGGTCCCCTGTACACTCTCTGCTGTGGGTGGGAGATCAGAGAAACCGGCTCCTTGTCCTCCAAGGGACCACACTGGGCTGTGACCAGACCCTCTTGGGGGCAGGAGAAGCCACTGTTTTACTCCAGCTTTGTGTAAAGCACAGAGGGGAAGCCTGGAGGTATGTCTTGGGTGGGGGCGAGGAAGAGTACTCCCAAACTCGCCCAGCTCCCCAGAAGGTTTCCTCTGCCCCCCAGACATTGCCAAGACCGCATTCCCCACGGAGGCCTCCAACCCAGCGCAGGCCCCACCGCCCCAGCACCCGAGAAGCGCCCTCCGGCAAGGGGTGGTGCTCTCGCCAGGTGAGCCCTCTGGGACTGGGATGCTCCCCTGGGACAGGTGCCCAGCTATGCCTTCTCCCTGCAGGCTCCTCTCTGGTCCTCCCTTGCAGAGCCCTGCAAGCTGTACAGGCCTCCAGCTTCTCCTCTCCCAATTCCCAGGATGGTGGGGACCAGCTTCTGCCTAGGGGGCTGTGGCAGGGATGGTGGAGTGGGAATCATGGCCACATTCCTGGTGGCGGAATGGGGACATCGGAGGCAGAGGTCTGGCTGCTGGCTGCACCTGGCAGATGCCAGGGTGTGGGGACTGGGAGGAGTCTCTACCCAGGGATCACACTGCCCTTTGTAGCAAGAGAAAGGGGAGGCGAGGCTGCAGAAGGTGCCCTGGACCACCGCCTGACTGCTGCCCGCAGACTCCGGCCTCTGCCCTGCGGGCGCCCGGGCTCAGACCGGCCTTTCCTTTGCAGACTGCATGCTGGGGGACCCCCAGAACGGGGAGCAGCCGAGGCGCAGCTGCACCATCTACCGGCCGTGGTTCTCCCCTTACAGCTACTTCGTGTGTGTGGACAAGGAAAGCTACCTGGAGGCCCACGGCTTTCCAGAGCTGCCCCGGGACGAGGGCCGGGGGGACAGCTGCCTCCCCGAGGACGCGGCCGACAGCTTGCGCTCGTCCTCCTCCTCCCCCGACAACACCAGCCCCCGAGAGGCCACCAAGAAGCCCAGGCACGGGGATGCCACGGACCACATCACGTCCCAGGACATCCTGAGGGCCTCCCGGTGGCTCCCGGCGCAGCAGAACGGCTTCAAGTGCGCAGCCTGCTGCCGCATGTACCCCACCCTGTGCTCCCTCAAGAGCCACATCAGGTGCGGTTTCAGGGAGGGCTTCAGCTGCCGGGTCTTCTACCGCAAGCTCAAGGCCCTCTGGGCCCGGCCTGCAGACAGGCTGTCCTTGGGCAGCGGCCAGGCCCGCAAGTAGCCAGGCCAGCAGGGGCAGAGCCTGGTCATGTCTCCAGGGAGAGGCCAATAAACCCGTTACCACAGCTCTGTCAAGTCTGAAGTCACCCGGCACCACCTGCTGTGTCCTTCCAGTCCCTGTCCCTGTCCCAGCCCATTCAGCTACCAGTTGCCTAGCAACCTCGGCCCACATCCCGGAAGGCCTGCCCTCCCACTCCCTCGCCTCTCTCTCACACCTGAAGTTTGGGGAGAAATACTAAGATGGTAGTTCTCAGGGCAAGGTGCCTGGACCAGCACTGTCGGCCCCTGAGGACTATTTAGAGATGAGATTCTTAGGCCCCCAAGTGACCGTGATGCCACTTGGGTGTGATAACACCGCCCTCAGGCCTGGCTCCCTTGCTGGTCCCTCTGCAACCAGTCCTCACTGCCCCCTTCAGCACCCACAAATGAGGAAACCGGGTGGACGCCCTCCCCTGCTCTGTCCACCAACAGGACAGAACCTTGGCACAGTCTGGAAGCTCCTGGGACAATGGATCAGAGGGGTGGGACGGGACGGGTGATGTGCCCAACACTGTCCTCCACACAGAAACAGAGCAGATGGGCATCTTACGCGGCTGTGTGGAGTCCTGGCAACACGCGGTGGACACATGAAAACACTGCTTCCTGTTGCCAGGTGCTGCCCTGCAGAGCCCACCGCTTATTCCACTCTGAGCAGACTCCCTGCCCACTCTGACCGGAAGCATGGGTGGGCTCGGGGAGCAGGGGGGACAAAGGGCGGAGTGCTCAATTGTCTCACTTTCAGGCCTCCTTGCCTCTCATTTCATGTCCCGGACAACACCGTGGGGAGGAGGCCACCCTTCCTTCCAGGTCACAGGGAGCCTTCCCAAAGCCCCATCGTCTGCTCCTGCCTATCCGTCTCCTGATGTCACCATCACAGTCCCCTCCTGAGAGGCTGAGTCCACATTCCTCCTTGTCCCAGACCCGCAACCCATCCCTGCTCCTCTCCCCACCCTCCACCCACCCACCCAGCACCCAGAATCCCCTTGACCTGCAGACTGCAGCAGAGTCCTGGCCTGTCCACTCTGGGGCGGGTGGTCCCCAGACAGCCTGACCTCACCATGGACCTGCTCCTCAGGGAGCAGATGAGTTACTCTGTGCTCACTCCACCCTCTGGTTCTCCAGGTGGAAAAGCCACCTGAGACCCTGCAGACATCTCTGTATACATGTTACTATCATATGTCCCCTTGACAGGGCTCTGGAGGGGATACCGTGAGGGTGGGAGCAGGGAGGTACTCATGGCCTCACCACGGTCTGTGGGAACCAGGAGAAAAGTCATCTTCATATCTGCTCTTGCACCCTCTGCCAGCCTGCGACCCCTCCTCCAGGGTTTCCGTGTCACAGACACAGAGCTCATTAGAGAAGAGGGAAGCTATCGCCTAGGGTGCGAGCCCAAGGGCCACCGCACCTGCCAACCGCTGTCTGTCCAGTGTTTCACCCTTAGGACAAGGTGCTTCCTGCATGTCACAATAATGTCACTGTGACCTGTGACTTTCTCGGCACCATCCTCAGTGACAGCAGAAAGTGCGCCCAGCACGCAGCACTGGACTGACCAGCGGCGCACCTCCCCCCACCCCCACTGGCCCTGGGCTGTCCGCTCTGCGGGAGCTTCAGAATGAAATCTCATCCACTCCTTGTATCAACTCCACGTGGTACCTTTTATCCGCACTTCACAGGCTGCTCAGCCAGGCAAGGGCATGTGAGCTGGGCTACCTGCAGGCCTGGGCCCCACAAAGACCCAGGCTCGACCAGCTATCTGCCCTCCAAATGGCTGGAAGTCCTGACCAAAGACTCAGTTTCTCCTACCCACTAACATGCTGCCCTCGCCGGCACCTGCGCTTCATTCCCCTCCTTCCACTGAGCCCAGGCCGTGGCACCACAGGCCTCCCTCCTGACACTGAGCCCACGGCCATGGCACCAGTCCTCTGACCTGTGGGAGCAGCCAGCTTGGCCTCGGAGCAGACTTTCTAGGATGGACTCACTCAGAATCTGACCAACCTCACATGAGATATCCAGTCAGGGACTCAGTGGGCTTCTGTGACTTGGTGATCTTAGTTTTAGCTCCAAATAGCAATGACATCATGCATTTCCAAGCACTCAAACTGGCTGCTTCCGCCATAACCCAGGCTGACTGGAGTCAGAGGAGCCATGCTGACAGGTGTCTCACCCTGGGCACGGCTGACACCATGTCCCCGGCTCCACCCACTACCTGCCAACACTCCTCCCTCACTGTGATCCGTGACTTTCTCAGCACCATCCTCCGTGATGACAGAAAGTGTGCCCAGCAGAAACATTCCCGGCAGGGACACGTGTCCCCTGGGGAAGAGCCGTCCCTGGGTGAGATCCAGGCCGGTTATATAAACACGACCTTGGAGTCAGACATGAATCCATCTTCACACCATGGCCCGGGAACACGTCACAGGGCTGAGGCTGCCTCTGAAATGGTGACAGAGAGAAGGAGGAGCAGCAGCGGAAGCAGAGGAAGCAAGAGAAGACGACAGAAGAGCGTTTAGAAATAAAGGTTTATTAGCAAAAGCCGCCAGACAAGGACAGCCTCCGGAGTAAGTGCACTTACAGGAACAGAAGCGTTTCCCCGAGAGCCTGTGCCACCGCCCTACCCACACAATGCAGGAGGCAGGGGGCAGAGCGTGGGCGAGAGGACAGACCCCATACAGGAGCAGTGGGAGCAGCAGGAGGCAAGGAGCTGTGCAGAGGGCCCTGCAGGGAGGAGTTGTCCATCTGTCTGTACTGCAGGCCCCAGGGGGCTGGGCACCAACAAGGCTGGTGCCTGGCATCCACTTGTCCTCCACACGGGTGGAGCAGGAAGATGGAGGGCAGGGCAGGGCTCAGAGGAAGAGGCAGGGCAGGAGGAGGGCAGGTGACAGGCCCTAGATCTGTCCTGAGTCCCAGCTCCACCCCAGTAGGTGCTGGTCTGGTCACCTTGGGGAAAGGCCAGGACCAGGCAGGGGTCAGGAGCCCAGGGGTACTTGAGGGCAAGGTGCTGATGGGTCAGGCCAGCAGCACAGGGAACAGTGTCCCCAATGCTCTCACCCTCGTCCACCCCTCCTCCATCCATTCACAAGTTTGTCAGGACCCTCTTTCAAACTGTCCCCCTCCTCCCACATCCTATCCAACATCCGCCATGTCACCCCCAACCCAGTGGCCTCAGAGCCCAACCTTCTGCTTTCCAAACTCTCAGCTCTGACGACCTGAGGGGGCCCACTCCAGGAGCCCTTGGGGGGCTGCCATCTTGGCCAAGCCTGAATCCTGACCTCCGTCCCTCAGGTTCCTGGGCCTTACATTCCTGCTTCTTCCTGCCTTGAGTGTCTGCACACACCTCCAATGGGTAATCAGAAAATAAAACAGACAGAGCCACCCTCTCTGACAGGGTGCACATGAGGAAAAGAACACACACCTCCCAGTGACCCACAAGCCGACACCCGCCCGTTCCCTCACATGCAGGCACACAGGGCACGCCGCCCTATCCCTGCCCAGGGCACTGTAGGCCGACAGAGCTACATCGGCTCCTCTCCCCTGGGCCGTCCAGCTAAGAAACGGGAGGGCTCAGAATCTCCATTCTCACCAACCGACCCTTGAATAGCATCACACAAAAGAGCCTGTCCTTGCTGCCCAGTCACCTGTGGTATTGAGTGGGCAAGGCTAAGACGGCCAGGTAAGAGGACTGCCCAGGTGTGCTCAAGGCATGGCCCACAGAGATGTGGCAGGGGTACGTGGCTGTGGTCCCTGACAAGTGGCAGAGATTCTGAACTGTGGACATGAGCAGTGTCAGCTACCAGCCCGTGTTGGTTTTTTTGAAGTAAGAACCAATCACTACTGCCTAGTGGAGGAGATTGGTTGAGAGGTGGTGGATGGGGGGTTGGGGGCTCAGTGGGGACAGCCAAGGGGGACACAGAGGACAGGAGGACAGAGGACAGGGGGACACAGAGGACAGGGGGACACAGAAGACGGGGACAGCCTCCACCTATGTGGATGGCTGAGCTTGCAGGGAGGAGGTGGGCAGAAGAGCTGGACCTAAGTGATGTAGCAGCACAGAAGCTGTCCCCCCACAGCAAGGCCTGACCGATGTCACACGCAGTTTCCCAGAGAAGCACACTCAACGCTGGACACAGAGCGATGTCTGGGTGCAGGTTACCAAGAGTTGACCCACATCCACATTTAACTGAAGGACTGTCCTGCCTATTTTGATCCAGAGTGTTCAGCCACCACCATCTCTGCAGGGGTGGGGGGAGGACCTGTTCCCATGAGGTCAGAGGGTGAGGCAACTGGCAGCGTCCTGGGTATCCAGACACAAGGCCCCTGAGAAGGTACATGATTCCCTTCCCAGCTGGACCACACAGAGGGGGAGCACAAGGGGCTGCAGGCATCACAGACACAGCAAGGAGCCTGCGGGTCCTCGACCCTGTCCCAAAGCCGTGGGCTCTGCAAGGTCTGCCCCTCCCCATGGTCACTGAGGGAGAGAGGAGCTGATCCCCTCTAGGAATCCAATGTCCTCCCCTTCACCCTCCAAAGCGAAATCCTAATCCTTCCCTGAAACCAAAAATGCCCAGCCGCACAGCACAGCACAACGGCTGCCCGGGCCCCTGCCTCGTAAGGTCCCGCTGCGGGCCCTACACGGCGATCTCGTCGTCCAGGCCGTCGCCCAACTCCTGGCGCTGCCGCACATGCAGCAGGCGCGGCAGCTCCTCCTCGCTCTCGTCCGTGGTGGACTCGTACTCAGAGGCGATGCCCGACTCCCGGAACTTGAGGAGCTCCAGGCCACCCAGCATCGGCTGGCCCCGCGCCCCGGGGAAGCGGAAACACTCCAGCTTCACCAAGCAGTCGCGCCTACCTAAGGGGCTGCCCGTGGGCAGGGCCAGGTCGGCCAGGCCAGCGCCCAGGGGCGGCGAGGGCAGGTCCTCCGGCCTGGGGGTCGTAGGGTCGCTGAGCACAGGCAGGGCTCCGGATCGGAAGGTAATCTCCAGCAAGCTGTCCTGGGATCCCACTGCGGGACACAAGGGGGAGAGGGGCGTCAGCATGCAGTGGGGAGGCCGCCCTCTGCGCTGCCCCTGACCGGCTGAGCTGGCCTCTTAGCTCTCAGTCCTTCCCACCCAGGCGCCCAATGCCAGGTTGGAGGGCCCAACGCCAGGTTGGAGGGAAGAGCTCTGGGAATGCCATTCAGGCAGGGCGAGAGGGCCACCTCGGGGGCAGGCCAGCAGGCTGTGTGGTAGGAGGAGCTAAAGGCCAAGGGCTCTCAAGGTCATGTAGTGACCTTCAGTGTGACCTTGGGATCAGCATTAATCACCACAAGGAGGGCTTAAGGGATGAAACTAAAAAACCAGAGAGGCTTCTAGAGGGTGACATGCAGTGGGTCCCCATCCAGGGCTCTGGGCTGTAAAAACAGCCCCAGCCATGCCAGGCTTCCTGATGTCCAATCCCGGGGGCTGGGCCTGGGAACAGTCTTAAAGCAGCTATGGGGTAGTTTGGGGGAAGTACTGCTGTCACAGGAAAAGCGGTCATTTTGCCATTAGGCCTGGATTTGAATCCTGGCTCCACACCTTCTCACCCTTAATCTGTCTGAGCCGGTTCCTCGGCTCAGAACTGGACACACAGGGAGCAGGCAGACAGCCCCGGGAGGCTCAGGAGGGCAGCGTGGAGACACACCTCTCAGTCTAGCCCAGGGCCAGCTGGGCAGAGGCCAGCATCAGGCACCGGCTGCCACTCAGCAGCACAGCGCCGGCCAGCTGTGCCTCTCCCGGACGCGTGCTGAGATGCCCCAGCACGAGCTGCTGTCTGCGAGTGAAGGCACAGGGCGGGCAGAGTAGGCCACACCCAGCCAGGCCCGTCCAAGGGGCCCACCAGAGCGTGATGAGAAAAACCTCGGGGGTGGTAAGCCGAGCCCTGGCAGGGAGATGGGGGAACCCGTGAGGATGACTTTCAAGGTCAGTCTGGGCACTGAACTAGGAGGCTGCTCGCTCCCACCTGGCCCCACTGCTTGAAGGTCCACCAGTGTGTGGATGCACGAGAAGCTGCCTTGGGTTTCTGCTGGAATAGCAAGCAGGTCAGCACCACCAAGAACTTTCAGGAAAGAACATGTGGTGTCTGGAGCACCCCTTCCCCAGCTATGAGGTGTGGGGTAGGCGGGGCCTGGCTTACTGGCGTTCTGTCCTGACAGCTTCAGCTCCAGCTCCTGCACCTGCCTGACCAGCAGGGACACGTGCTGCAGGGCGTCCCTGTTCTGCAGCAGGAGCTGGTGCACTCGGGCCTGAGCCTCCAGCCGCGCCGCCGCCTCCGCCGCCAGCTGGTCCTTCAGCAAGTGAACCTGCGGGCAGGAGGCAGAGAGGAGAGGAGGCAGAGAGGAGAGGAGGCAGAGAGGAGAGGGCGAGATGTGAGTGCCAGAGAGTTTAGGGTGTGCGCAGGGACCAGACATGACCTCTACCTATGTTCAATCCTGGACAAAGCGGAACCTGGGCTTATAATTCAGATGGCACCAAGAACCAACTCCAGCTCAGAGTGGCCACACCCTTCCACCTTGCCCTTCCTCACACCCAAACGCACTGAGAAATCCGAAGCCCCATTGGCCCTTTCTAAACTGTGAGGTGGCCACAACCAAGCCTGTCTTCACATCTGCAGTGCCAGCTTTGTTCCGACTGTCCGTTCCTTTTTATTTCCATGGCCCCAGCACTGTGCCTCCTGCCTGCTGTGTCCCAGGTTGGCTCCTGGAGTGCTTGGGTGTGGGGCACACTCTAGGGGAGGACCCACTTTAAGAAACAGAGCCTCAGGCAGGAACGATGCTCACACAGGTGACCTTGTGCCTAGAAGGGCATTAAGGGGTCTCTGTGGAGGGTTCCAGAAGGTCCCTGAAGAGCAGGAGCTCATAAACTTGGTGCCTTAGACAAGGCAGCCTGTAGGGAAGGGATCTTCTTGCACCAAAACGATGGTATGCATAAAGACCAGTGTCTGGGGACAGGAATGGGAGTGGGAGGGGAAGGGGGGATGGGGAGTCAGAGGAGCTGCCTGACTCCTGCTCAGACCACAAAGCTGTGCATTTCTGAAGAGCAGTTTGTGCCAGAAAGACACACATTTTACCAGGAATAAAAGGTGGTGGCCCCACCCTCCCCCACTCCCATGTGGCCAATCTGAGAGGGCCCACCAGCCAACCTACCCATCCCCAGGGCAGCACTCAGACTCTGGGGTGCAGCCACCTCCCTCCTGCCAGATTTCAACCTCACTTGCAGGTGACCTTAATTCTACGTGGAGGCTCTAAGGAGATTAGCAGCCACTTTCCACTCCTGGCTCCCACAAGGGGCCTAACTGTCCCTGGGTGAGGAGGCCTAAGGTCTCTGAAACCTGCTGCCCCAAGGCCTCAGCTGCTGCCATGTAAACTGATGGAGACCCAGACGGCAAGGACAAGGACAGACAGCAGGGTGGAGCTGCTAAGGCTTTATCTCCCTTGGAAACTGAGGCACAGAGACATTCCACCTGAGAGTACCCAAGCCTGGGGTTCTGAGGAACAGGACAGGTGCTGTAGGAAGCCCCAGAACTGCTCCAGGAGGGAAGGCGGCACCATTCACTGGCAAGTAACTTACTGCAATGGGGGCGTCACTGAAAGGGATCTATTGAGCAGACGGAATCCTCTAGTCTCGTCGGAACAAAACAGAAACATTGGGCAGAAACGTGGAACTCAACTTTCAGTGAACAGAGAGAATTCTGCACACTGCCTCTTATACCTGGGGGCCCCTGCACCTGTACCTGGACACCCCAGCACAACAAACCACTGGAGAGCCGGCCAGCAGGGGAGCCACGCATCTCACTCTGCACCTGCATGCGGCTCACTTCTCTCTGGATCTCACTTTCTCCATCCCTAGCCCAGAGGGCCTGGCCGGCAACTCCAATGGTCTGACTCCACACTTGGCAGGTGGGTGGTCAGTGCCCAGACAAGGAGAGAGAGGCTTCCCTTGCAACTGACCGAGCTCAGGTGGTGGAACCACAGTGATAAGCCTCTGCCCTGCCCGGTACACAGGATCAGGCTCCAGCCGCTGCAGCAGCGGCCAGCCCACGGGACACCCAGCCAGGCCAGTGGGCCTTGAAGCACCGAGGGAGCGGGACTTCCAGCCATGCAGACAGGGCTGCAGCTCTGGGAGCTCCGTCCCCAACCACCACCCTCCCTGCACGCAGATACTCACTCGCACCCAGCACGCTTTCCTTTCAGAATATTAAACCCCTTCACAGACGCGTCAGCTTCTCCTTTCTGGAGCCGCGTGGTTTCTGATGACAACTAATCCGGTCACAGACGGCCGGGTGGGCACCTGGAGTGCGGTCCAGCTCTGCGTCCGGCCCCAGCTCTGTGCTGCTCCAGAAATGCTGGCTCCCACCCTCGGCCCCTCCAGCGTCCAGACCACTGCCCGCTCACTCCACCTACTTGCCTGGACTCCAGCTCCTCCGCTGGAAGGGGGGGCAGGGCCAGGCTGAAGACATGGAGCACAGGCACATGGGAATGGCGTTGAGCCCCACCCTGGACACAGGGTGGAGGCAGGCGTCTCAGCATGCATAAGTGGGGGGTCTGGCACAGGCCCTGGGACTGGGAGCAGCCAGGGGGACAGAGGCTGACTGTAGGGCCTGGGGGCAGTGCGGAGCCATTTTAGCGCCATTTCTCTAGCTACAGCATAGGCGACCTTGAAGCCTCCAGAACAACCACTTGAATCAGATCGAGTGCAGGGCCTCAGGTGGGGAGGACTCTTTAGGCAGCAGTACTGAGTGGCACTAACGGTCTCCTCACAAGCTCGCCAGGAACCGGCAACTGGGAAGGCAGGCAGCCAACTCTACTGCAGGCAGCCAGCCAGGGCACAGAGCGACCTGGAGCTGGTGGGCCCAGCCCGTGGCCATGCGCCCTCGTTCACAGCCTTGCCCATCGGGTGCATCAAAAAGCAGGAGTTAGAGCAGCCAGGTGAGCCTCATGCTGGGTGGGGAAGGCAGGCAAAGGGGCTTGGTGTCCACTACGGACACACAGAGGTCTAACCTGGAAATGTGGACAGGCAAACACTGCCTTTGCCCGAGTACCTTTACAGCCAGGGCAGCCCTTTTGAACCAGCTTGGAACCAATTTAGGGAGTTGGGAATAGGCTGAGGTCTGAGACTGATCATGACCCCCAGGAGGTCTACGGCCATGGACAAGAGCAGAGCCTGACTGGCCTTGAGGGTAAAAGGGGCGTGTGTGTAAATAACACAACAATGTACCCCAGGGATGAAAGTGTTTTCAAGAAACTTCTTTATCCCTAGATCTCGCCAGGAGCCACATGGAGGACTCGATGATCCCAGAGAGGACAGCATGTCCCCACCTGGAGTGAGGTCACAGTGCACCCTCCGTGGTGCTGGCACCACTGCTGTTCAATGACGAGAGACTCTGCAGTTTGGTGCCAACAGGGAGTGTCAGAGCAGAGAAAAGCTGTCTGGTGCAGACCCGGGCAGCTGGATCCCATCTGCTTCAAAGGCGTGGAGGATGCCAAGAGGCCCATCTACTAACCCACCCACGTGTCTTATGTAATAGATTTTATCCAAAGCCATGGATCCTAACAAAGACCTGGATGCAGTACTTCCCAGTGGAAGAGAGGGTGTGGAGAGACCTGTAGCAGGTGGGCCCAGGACCCAGTTGTCCGAGGGCAGGAGACAGGGACAAGGATACCTCTGCTGCTTTCCATGCAGCTAAGGAAGATGCCGCTGGTGGGAGAACAGGGAGGGAGGAGCGTGCCAGGACACTGCCTGGTGACCTCGAGGTCCTGCCCAAAGCCGTCTCATCCACGTGGTGGTAACCTTTCAACCATGTCACTGCTGACTAAGAGTTCACAAGGGCAGTGCCAACTACCAAAAACAGACTCGAGTCACAGGCTACGGGTGCAGCCTGGACACAGCTGGACTGAGAGGCCCATGAGGGGCCACCAGCACCATGCCCTCCCCTTCCCGATCCCATCTCTGAGGAGGCAGCCAGGGCAGTGAGGTTTCATCTTGACGTTGGTAACCATAGGAAGTCACGGTTGGCTGTGTGTGAGGACAGCAACCCACCGCTGTGCAGGGGATGCGTCTGAAATGGCACCTTGTCAGTACCAGCAGTGACTGAGGCATCAGGCACGTCCCTGGTAACACACACAGTGAATGCACATCACGCCCACTCTCCGATAGATAATAATTACTTGACAATTGACATGCTGAATGATTTGTGTTCCATGGGAACTTCTGGGAAGGGTAAGTGGTGGGCTGGCCAAGCCCAGGCTCTGAGCTGGCGTCAGCACCAAACCAGGGAGGCAAGTTCTCACCACAGCCGCGTTCGAACCAGCCATGGATTCTGTAACCTCAGAGAGCTGCATGTTCTCCAAATGTAGGAGCGGCACCCTCCTCTGTGCAGCCATCTGGGGCACCTGTCACCCAAGCCCCAGCACAGCCTCCTCCTTCCTGGCCAGGATTTCAGACGGCTGGCACCCAGTGAGGGTCTGTGTCATAAGGCCTCAGGATCCAAGCTGAGGCCGAGCCAGTTCTGGCTGGGCTGCTGAGGCTTCTTGCACACTGTCTGGGATATTTGTCCAATGAGGGCCGGAGAAGAGGAAGCAGAAGCTGTGGATCGTACGTGTCCCTTAGAGCACAGGAAGCCCTATGGTCAGTCTGGTCAGACAGAGGATCTGTCCTCACAGCCACAGCCCCACAGGACTCTCCCTACGGCCTCTGCTAACCCTCCTGACACTGTTGGACTCAGATCTCCAGAGTCGGCCTTAAAGAGCACAAATGATCGTGTCCCCACCACTCCCTGACTGCCCAGGATGAGGTGGACACGAGGCCCTCCCTCAGCAGAAGGAAGCAGGGGGCAGTAGGGGACTTGCTCGAACCAGCTGCCCCCAACAAGCCTCTAGGGCTCAAACAACTCTGCTCTCAAACCCCAGCCCACTCTTCTCGCTGTGGCTCAAACACTACAGTTGAGCTCCTGGGAGCCGAGTCCCACCATTGTAAACTCTGGACAAGTCAGGTGTCAGATCCCACCCAGGACACCTGGAGCGCTAATGAGGGCCTGGGAATCACATGGATGAGCACTGGCACAGGGGGAGTTCTCCACAAGGGCATTTGGCACAAATTCACACTAAGCTCCCTGAAGGCAGGTCTCGCGGTCACAGCCCCCTGACTGCAAAGCCACCTCCCTCCCTCCAGCAGGAGTGAGGCAGGAGAGGAGGGACCAGTGCACCTGCCCCCTTCCATCAGTTCAGGTCACAACCAGCTGCATCCAGCCAAGCCAGCCAAGCCAGCCAAGCCCGGCTCAGCAAGACACGTGGGAAACCCACTGCCCTCGCACCCCACCGCCCCTGCCTGCACCCCCAGCCCAACAAGCAGGGGTCCAGCTGAGTGATCCCTAGGCTCCGACTTTAAACCTGTCCTGGTCCCTCACGGGGGGGCACATCCAGGCCCTGAGCACGGAGCTGGGAGGTGGGGAGGAGGCTGAGCAGGACCTGGGCCACGGCCACTTGTGTCTGCTGCTGCTGCTGCTGGAGGAGCTGGTGCAGGAGCTGCAGCTGGTGCTGCGAGGACAGCGGCGTCCCCATGCCCGGGGCCTGGGTGCAGGACGGGGGCAGCAGCATCCTGGGTGAGGCTGTGGGCACGGACTCCAGGGGCGGCACCTGGAGGGGCAGAGAACACCAGGCATGATCCCGGGGGAGGGCCACGTGGGGACCTTGCTCACTGATATACGGTGGCACCTATGGGGTCTGAGTATAACGCCTCACCTATAACCAAGGGCTCGGGCATGAGTCCTGGGTGGAAGTGTGGATGGGCCCGGGGAGCAGCTGGCGTGTTTGCCCAGGCTGGGACCGTAGCGGGAAACCCTGTTTGGACACCTCAGTACCAGCTCTGCAGTGATGGGACACGGACAGATGACATGTCCCCTCTCCTGCCCCCACCTCCAACTGTGTCACATGGCTGAGTTCCTTCAGCTTCCAGACACGGAGGGACCCACTTCTACACAACACAGCTCCCACCACCCCAGTGTGGGAACGGACAGAGGCAGCGCCCCCTTCCTCTGCTGCATCCTCGGGTGGCCTCTGGAGGAGGCAGCTGTGCACGAGTCCGCTGCAGCCACCACCACTCACAGCAACAGCACCAGGGAAGGAAGTCTGGGCACTGACAAAGACAGAGGTCTGGGCACATCCTCCCTGTGCCGTCTGTGGAAAGCACTTCTTGTCCCTTCCCTCCACCTCCCTCCTGGCAGATAGGCACTTCCAGTAAGACGTGTCTCTGAGCCTGAGATGTCAGCTGCAGGAGGTGTGGTTCCTGACTTCTGGTCCTTCAGAAAGGCAAGAGGAGGATACCGAGATGGAGGCCACTCGCAGGGACAAAGACCACCAAGAAAGCGGACAACTGGGGACAGAATGGCCCTCCAAACTAGAGAGGCTTCCACCTCTGATGAGCTGGCCCACCGACCGCCGCTGCACTGAGGTGGACCAGGGGCCATGACACCTGGCCTGGCTGGGATGGGGGGCAGGGGAACCTTTGTCAGAATTTGCCTTCTGGGTGTTTGTTTTGTCTCAGGGTAGATTTGGTATCGAGTTCATCATTTCTCGTATCAAGTTCATCATTTCTCGTCTGGGTTAGGTCAGGAGCCCTGGGGCACTGTTACCTCGCTGTGAGCTGTGAGGTTGACACCCGGGGTGGCCTTGTGGTGCCCAGCCTCCAGGGTCCGCCTCCTGCCTACCTTGGAGTCTGCATGGGAGCCACCGTCATTCCCCACGGCATCCAGGTCGGTCACTCCTCGGCTGAATTCCAGGCTCTCACTGCCGGGGAGAGGGACCTCTACTGCATCAATGTCCGTCTCCTCTGCGGCAGCCATAGAGGCCCTCTCGGCTCCAGTGAGCTGGCGACCTGCAGGGACAACAGAGAAGACAGGGAAGAGGACGGGACACCAAGGACAATCTCCCTCCTGACACATCAGTGTCACACCAGGGAGTGCCTCTGGCTTCCCAACATCTTCACTTACATTTCCAGGTAAGTCCATCAACTTTCTAACCCAGTAAGAAAGTCCAGGAACAAAGGCAGCTTTTCCTTGAGCCTGGACATAACATTTATGTTGACAGGGTGTGGGGACTGGGAAGAAGGGGTGACAGTCATCTCAACCTCATCTAGCTCAGGAGTGAAATCAGCCCAGGAGTGTGGAGTCTCCCCAGCCTTGCCTGGGGGGCTGTCAGGCCCCCAGGAGATGGACCAGAATAGGACAGAGATTCAAGGCCCTGCCACCCCAGAGCCTGACTCCAACCTTGCCCCAAGGATAGAGGCCAGGAAGGGGCAGGAGAGACGGTGAGGTACCTGAGTTCACTCGTTCACTTGGTCAGTACTTATTAGAGGTGACGGAAATCCTCAGCACAAGCTGCCCCCCATCTGACGGAAGAGCAGACACAAACCAGAGGCAGCAGGAGGCTGTGTCGCCCGTGAGACAGAAGAGGAGCATGTGGCCCAGGGGCAGAGGGCAAGTACACCTGTGGGGAGAGCCAGCTCAGCAGGTGAGGCCCATGGGCAGGGCCATGGCACAAAGGACACCCTGCAAATGGCCCTGTGGGGAGGGACCCAACTAAGAAAGGGTCGGGATTTTATCGTGAAGGATTGAAAGCAGGTGAGTAGTACCAAAAGATGCCCATTCTTTCAAACTTTGCAACGAAGAGGTGGTCAGCTCAGTCCAAAAGCACTTGAAATGGCCACTTTTTACTTCAAAATTGCAATAGTACTGCTTAATAGCACTTATTATGTTCCAGGCACTAATTTAGGGGTTTTACATTTATTAATTCACTTATCCTCATAACCAACCTAAGAAGCAAGCACTATTATTACCTCCATCTGACAGATAAAGAAACTGATGCACACAGCTGCTAAGGCTGGGGCTCAAAGCCGCCAGTCACTCAGCGCCTTGAATCCGGGTGCCATCTGCTTCCCACCCAGAGTCCCCCCACCCTGCTCCACCTTACCCACCGTCGGTGCTCTCTAAAATGACTGGGTTGATCAGTCATTTGTTTGCACCCCTACCCAGCTCAGAATGTGAGCCCCTCGCCAGCAGGAGCCTGTTCTTATTCACAGTATCCCCAGAATCAAGCCTGGCTCATCAGGGAGGCTGGATTTGTCGAACGAAGGAAAGAAGGAACTGGAATAAGGAGAAACCAAGGATCAGGTGGTGGTGGTCTGATGAGGTGGGGGCACAGGTGTGGGGGGAGCAAGTGTAAGGGAGGAATAGATGTAGGGGAGAGGAACAGGTGTGGGGGCACAGGTGTGTGAGGAGAGGAACAGGTGTGGGGGACAGGTGTGTGAGGAGAGGAACAGGTGTGGGGCACAGGTGTGTGAGGAGAGGAACAGGTGTGGGGCACAGGTGTGTGAGGAGAGGAACAGGTGTGGGGCACAGGTGTATGAGGAGAGGAACAGGTGTGGGGGAAGAGCAGGTGTGTGAGGAGAGGAACAGGTCTGGGGCACAGGTGTGTGAGGAGAGGAACAGGTCTGGGGCACAGGTGTGTGAGGAGAGGAACAGGTGTGGGGCACAGGTGTGTGAGGAGAGGAACAGGTGTGGGGCACAGGTGTGTGAGGAGAGGAACAGGTGTGGGGCACAGGTGTGTGAGGAGAGGAACAGGTGTGGGGCACAGGTGTGTGAGGAGAGGAACAGGTGTGGGGCACAGGTGTGTGAGGAGAGGAACAGGTGTGGGGCACAGGTGTGTGAGGAGAGGAACAGGTGTGGGGCACAGGTGTGTGAGGAGAGGAACAGGTGTGGGGCACAGGTGTGTGAGGAGAGGAACAGGTGTGGGGGAAGCGCAGGTGTGTGAGGAGAGGAACAGGTCTGGGGCACAGGTGTGTGAGGAGAGGAACAGGTGTGGGGGACAGGTGTGTGAGGAGAGGAACAGGTGTGGGGCACAGGTGTGTGAGGAGAGGAACAGGTGTGGGGCACAGGTGTGTGAGGAGAGGAACAGGTGTGGGGCACAGGTGTGTGAGGAGAGGAACAGGTGTGGGGCACAGGTGTGTGAGGAGAGGAACAGGTGTGGGGCACAGGTGTGTGAGGAGAGGAACAGGTGTGGGGCACAGGTGTGTGAGGAGAGGAACAGGTGTGGGGCACAGGTGTGTGAGGAGAGGAACAGGTGTGGGGCACAGGTGTGTGAGGAGAGGAACAGGTGTGGGGCACAGGTGTATGAGGAGAGGAACAGGTGTGGGGGAAGAGCAGGTGTGTGAGGAGAGGAACAGGTCTGGGGCACAGGTGTGTGAGGAGAGGAACAGGTGTGGGGGAAGAGCAGGTGTGTGAGGAGAGGAACAGGTCTGGGGCACAGGTGTGTGAGGAGAGGAACAGGTCTGGGGCACAGGTGTGTGAGGAGAGGAACAGGTCTGGGGCACAGGTGTGTGAGGAGAGGAACAGGTGTGGGGCACAGGTGTGTGAGGAGAGGAACAGGTGTGGGGCACAGGTGTGTGAGGAGAGGAACAGGTGTGGGGCACAGGTGTGTGAGGAGAGGAACAGGTGTGGGGCACAGGTGTGTGAGGAGAGGAACAGGTGTGGGGCACAGGTGTGTGAGGAGAGGAACAGGTGTGGGGCACAGGTGTGTGAGGAGAGGAACAGGTGTGGGGCACAGGTGTGTGAGGAGAGGAACAGGTGTGGGGGAAGCGCAGGTGTGTGAGGAGAGGAACAGGTCTGGGGCACAGGTGTATGAGGAGAGGAACAGGTGTGGGGGAAGAGCAGGTGTGTGAGGAGAGGAACAGGTCTGGGGCACAGGTGTGTGAGGAGAGGAACAGGTCTGGGGCACAGGTGTGTGAGGAGAGGAACAGGTCTGGGGCACAGGTGGCAGGAGGGCACAGGTGAGCAGGATGCCAGGTCCAGCAGAGGTAACAGGTATACAATAAATGCCCGTCCAGGTGGCAAGAGTGCTACTTTTCAGATCTATTCTTCCCTGTGGTGGGCCAGCTGCGGATGTGGGAAGAGGGCTGCCTCCAAGTGGACCTCTCCCAGGAAACCCTCTCAGGAGTCAAGGAAACACAGGGCAAAGTGGTCCCATCTAGCTCTGAGCCCCGGGACTGGACAGGGCAGCTGCTGCCAAGATGAACAAAAGATAATCGACCCCCAAGGTAGGGACAGGAGTAAGGACGGAAGGAGAGGGCACACAGTGACAGAGGACAACATCCCAAAAGCACTGGAAGCCCAAAGGGACCAGCCAACACATGCCAGACAGCAAAGCCCCATACTGTCCAGCTCCCAGAGCGAACTCATTTCCTCTGCACACAAAGAGCTGGTGTCGAGTCACGTGGGGTAGCTCCTTCCAGAAGATGAGCACCACTGAATCAAAGCTCCCTAAGATGGATGTGAGATCTTTGTAATAAAAAACAAACCTGTCAACCAATAGGTCAACCCTGGAGCTTCAGGTGCCCACTGCAGAGAATCCTAGTGGAGTTGATAAAACGTTTTGGGGAGGCACTTACGGAAAGAGAAAATGTGTCCCTAGGAGTCTGTGGACAGTAAGAAAGCAAATGGGGACACAAAAGGAGGGACCATGAGGCAGTAAGCAGCCTTCCTCAGTAAGAAAACACCCCATCACAGACATGCAGTATTTCAAACACTAATACTCAATGTAGGTTAAGCTTCATGGTGTGACACTACCCTGAAATCAGAGGGCACCTGATTAATCATTTAATGTGGACCTGTCATAGAACCATGGGACTCCTCTTCCTGCAGAAGTGGGGTCGAGTGTCACACTCAGAGCTGAAAAACCTGCTAATAGCTGATGCATGTTTACAGGGTTATACGCTGGCACGATGCTGACTTACAAGCATCATCTCACAACTCCTGGCAGATAAGAAAAAAAAGATCCAGAGAGACTCTGATATTTAATGCGATCAGCAGCTGAGAAGTGGCCAAGACCAAATTCAAGCTCTGGACTCTGGCACCTTTGGGTGCCAGAACCCAGGCTCAGCTGCTTCTGTGGTCTGCTAGTCCAGCACTCCCCACCACACCACTGCCGTGTCATTTCTGTGATGGTTAATTATGTGGCCAACGTGGCTGGGCATTCTGTCCAGGTATTTGAACAAACATTATTCTGGATGTTGCTGAGGTGTTTTTCAGGTGAGATTAATATTTAAATCAGCAGACTTTGAGTAAAGCAGATTACCCCCCATAGTGTGGGTGGGCCTCACCCAATCAGGTAGAGCAAAGACTGACCTCCCTAGAAGAGGAGGGAATTCCGCCAGCAGACCACCTTTGAACTCAAACTGCAACTCCACCCTGAGTCTCCAGCCTGACAACCTCCGCCACTTCCCTGTGGAGGTGTGGGAAGTCCAAAATCACCTCCACAATCACCTGAGCCAATCCCTTAAAATGTTTGTGTGTGTGTGCACGCGCGCATGCACACATATCTCCCTGACTGATGCAACTGACATAACTCCACAGGCCACACCTACATTTGCACTCGGACTGGAGGGCTCCTGCACCTCCTGTCCTCTGCAGGAACCAATGTGACATACAGGGAGCACAGCCAACCCCAGCCTGACCCCCGGTCTGGCCTCCTGGGAGAGCCCCACCCAGCGCTTTGCTTCCCATAATACACTTTGAAGGTAAGTGTGCACTGGGCCTGATGGGTTTTCCAAGATGGATCCAGATGTTTCTACATGTGGAATATCAACAATTTTCTCAGGAGGAGTGGAGCACAGGAGATGCCACGTAGCTGAGGTCTCATGTGTGCATTCCTGCGCTCTGAGAACATTATCACCAAAAAGGAGTTATTATTTCTAATTGTTTCAGTTTATCTTCTTGGGCTTTGCAGATAAAAAACTGAAGCTATTACAATACTGTCCTCATGGAGAGTTTACCGAACTATAGAATTCAGAATAGGAAAAGAAACTATGTAGGTGACTGTGGGCTTATATCCTTTCTAACTTGTTTTACGAAGGTCCCTCTGAACTTTCTTGGGCATCAGATTTGGTAGCAGTGGCTCTGTTTTAAAATGTGATTCCTGATGTCTAGCTTAAAGGCTTCCTTGTTTGACAATTTAAACATTGTTAACTGTCTGCTACAAATGTAATATACACTCCTTAAAGAAAATCTGGAATCTAGAGAGAAATAGGGAAAATAAACATTTTAAGTTACCTCAGCCTGGGCTTGGAGGAGTGACCCTCTGCCAGGTGCTGTGTCTACCTGCCGGCCGTCCCCATTGCAGCAGTGACACCTACCTGGGTCCTCTGAACTGTGGCTGTGCCGCTCACTGTCCCTGTCCTCCTGGCCATCCGCATTCTGCTGCGTGTGCTGCAGGCTCAGCTTGTGGCACACCTCAAAGGCCTGACCCACAGTCCGGACAATCCGCATGGCTTGGCTCTGGGAGGAGAGGAGATGTTGATGAAGGACGTGGGTGAAGGACACAGGGATCCTTGGTGAGGACACAGAGGGTTGGGGGTAGGGGTAGGATGTGGGAGGGGCAGGCTGCCAGGAGCAGGAACCAGCCAAGAAGAGAGACAGGAACCTAAGATGTTCAGACACGCACACACTCACAGAGAAGCGTGCGAGCCTGTCCCCTTCCTGAGACACTACAGACAGCAGACACTGTCACCACAGTCCCGAAACAGTCAGTCAGTGGAAGGGACAGAGCAAATACCCCCATTCCGACCAGCCCAGACCCTCCTCCAAGTGTAGCAGAAGTGGCCAGTGCACAGGCTTTAGAACCTTTGCCGACCACCATCATGTGCTCAATGGGCACATTCTACCAAGTGCAACTCTGCCACCTCCACACTCTCTGCTAGAGACAGTGGGTTCCCTGGACCCCACACACCAAGGGCCATGGTGACATGGGACTGAGACACTGTGGTCTAAACAGCAGAAGCAGCTGAAGCCTGGAACCCAAGACCCCAAGACCCCAGGACCAGCACCAGGAGCGTCTTAGTCTACGGTGAGCCCTCACCTGGGCCACCCATGGTGCCTCCTCCCCTTTGCTTTGCTATTTAACCCTTCCCCGAACAGCCCAAGATGGAGCCTGACCCCCAGCACTGTGCTGCTCAGCCAGGGGAGGCGCAGGCCAGAGGAGCCTGTTAGGAGCCTGAGGGACCCCCGCCGGCTGTGAGGAGGAGCCGCTCATGCAGGGCTTGGGCTCCACAGTGGCTCACGGGCTATAATTGGACAGTCAGCCTGTCTGTCTCTCAAAGACTGAGATGAGTCTGGGTGAGCTCCACTGAGTCTGAGCTCAAGCCAGGAAGCTCAGCACTTGCTCCTTTGACCCCCCGTCTCCCAACATCCCACCACCAACTGCCATTTATTGATCTCAGTAGTGGCTGTCCCCCTACAACCGAATCTCCCACAAGCCACACTTGGGGTGATCTGCCTTCGGGTCAGCTGTAACCACCCGGTGACGCCACATTCAACCCCCACAGCAACACCAGCAGTTAGGGAGTGGTGCTCACAAGAGCTGGCATCCCATCATTAGCGGATAAGTGACATCACTAGCCGGTGAATGGCATCACCAGTGGATGAGTGACAGTCAAAGCGGCATCAGGCCGTGGTCAGCCCGTGAGGCCCCATGAAGGGCGACTACATGGTTATGCTCTCACAACCTGCATTCAGCTTGGATCTCCCCGGCGCTGACTTCACAGCCTTCTGGGCCCTTGGACACCACATGTGGAACGATGCTCCAGTCCATGCCCTGCTGGTGTGGCCCAAAGGCTCCCGTGCTGTTTTCCCGAGCCAGGCATCCCTATTGTGCCCTCTCTATCTCAGCCACAGCACGAGAGAGTCAGAGAGGCAGCACAGCCCTTGAGACTCAAAAATGGCTCTGTGAGCTCAGAAGCCTCTCATCCTTCACCAGTGAAAAGCCTACTTTTAGGAGATTCTACATAAGAACCTTCTTGAGGGAAAGGCTACTTGAAGGTGGCGAGGAGGGCCAACCTGCCTCGGGGGGGGGGGG